AACTTAGAAAGGGCGAAGGAAGAATACAAGAGGCAGGCAGACAAGAACCGAAGGGAAGGTGAAACCATAAGGGTGGGAGATAGGGTGTGGCTGTCAACCCAAGGGTTGCCGTTCAAAGGAGGTTGTAAGAAATTAAGACCCAGGAGGTTGGGTCCCTTTGAGGTCATTCAACAGGTCAACCCAGTGGCTTTCAGGCTCCGGTTACCCAACCACATGAAACTGCACCCAGTATTTCACAGGTCGTTACTGTCACCGTACGAAAGGGGACGAGAAGGGCTGGCCACTCGGGGACCGGTCATAGAAGAAAGAGAATGCAGCAGCCATGTGGCAGAAATCCTCGACGCCAGGTGGAAGGGGGATCAGGTGGAGTATTTGGTAGCGTGGGAAGGAGAACCGGAGTCAGAAAACACTTGGGTAATGGCCGAAGATATCAATGACGAGGTATTGATAGAAACGTTCCATCAAAGGTTCCCAAGGAAACCTCAGCCTGTGGAGAGGTTCCGGAGGGAATACTTTGGGACCACTGATGAGGGGAGGAGTTGGAAGGATTCCCGGACTCGGAAGGGGAAGGGAGATGGACTCTGAGGAGGAGGTGTACTTGAGACCAGGAACCGCAAGGGGTTGAGGGAAGTGTTCGAGACTTCGGAAGATGAAGGACGTTCATTCCGGGGGTGTGCCTCGTCTCCGCCCGTAGAGGAGGGGCGAGAGGGAGTGAAGGGGCCCTGGAGGGGAGGTGGATGTCAGGGAACTGCCATCGGACGGAAGGGAGGTGAAAGGGCTCACACAGGTTGGGAGAGACGTAGCAGCTGAAGAGGGAACCAGCAGGGAGGTGAAAGGGCTCACACAGGTTGGGAGAGACGCAGCAGCTGAAGAGGAACCAGCAGGGGAGAGGAGCTGAGCTGGAGGGATGGCTCAGAGACACTTCCAGCGAAACAGTGGGGAGGTTTCAGGGACTCCTGTAAGAACACCCACTCCTCGCCGGAAACTGTCACGCAGGGAGTCCAGAAGACGTGTTTCCGTTAAGGAGCTTTTATGTTGGAAGCGATTACGAAAGCAACCACTGTCGGAATCTGCTAGTGACTAGAGGAGCCATGTCTGAGGGGCTCCGTCACAGACAGAGGTTTGTGCACTTGAACAAACTCTGAGGGGATACGATTTTACGCACAAGCAGCTCATCATCTCATC